AATGATCTTTAATCTCTTTATCTTTAGTTTTATACATATAAGTACCTAGAAATACTTTGAAAGAAGAATGCTACAACCTATATCTCAATATGTATTAGGTAGTATTAGCAATAAGATTTATTTAGTTAGTTATATTTTTTATAATTTCTCTTTTCTATTTTTTTGAATTTTTTCTTTTTTGTTTGTTGTTTTTAAAATCTATAAGAAAAAGTTTTAAATTCTATAAATTAGAATTTTTCTAAATACATACTTGCTTTTATTATATATATTAATTATATTTTAGTAGATAATCTTTTAATCTTAATATTTAAATTTTTAAGAAATAAGAATAAATAATGTTTCTTGAAAATTTACTATCTACAATTAAAGATATAATATTTTTTATTTTTGTATCACAATAAAATACTATAAACTTAGAATTTGATTAAATATTAAAATTAGTTTTAATTTTTCTTTTGTCTAAGGTTTTTTGTTTTTGAAAACTCCTACTTACTCTGTATGCAAAAAAAAACAGCATAAAGAACACAAGTTGAAATTCAAAATTTTAGTAAGATTTTAATAAGCTATTAGTAGAATATCAAATATTTTTTTGGCTAATAGCTACCAGATATTTGGCACATATCACCTACTTATTAGATAGATATTGCTTTTGATAGGCCTATTAGATATCAGATACTTCTATCATAAAATATCAGATATCTAATATTTTATGATAGAAGTATCTGATATCTGATAGGTTTATCAAAAGCAATATCTATCTGATAAGTAGATGATATATGCTAAATATCTAGTAGCTATTGGCTAAAAATATCTGATATTCTACTGATAGCTTACTGAAATCTTGCTGAAAAAAAAAGCAAAAAAAGCAACTTAACCAGTCGATCATCAGTACTGGGTAAGAGCTAAAAGACTTTGGAAGAAGTAAAGCAGAGTTCTGAACAACACAAAAGACTAATAGCAAGGGTAGAAGCCTCTGCATCAAGAAAAAGAAGGTATATAACTGTAGATATGGAAAACATGCAGAGAAAGAGAGCCAAAGTTCATGATACCAGAACAAAAGTTGCAGCTAAGAAAGCAGAAATGACTACAATAAAAAAACTAGATAAAACCTAAGCCCAAAGGGTAAACATAAGCAAAACAAACACATCTACTACGAATTAAGCAGAGTCTGTGAAGCAGGAAAATATAGTAGGAGGTATATCAAGTATAGTCAATATGGATGAAGACTCTTTTTCAAGTTCCTACAATACAGTTAACGATGCGATAGGATCGAAAGAAAAATATTTTGGAAAGAGTTATGCAACATCAGGTGATGTTTTATGTGACAATAATGATAATCAAATCGAAATCAGAAAAGGATTAGAAAGTAATGTAGATACTACAGAGAATGAGGTAGAAGTCA